GCTACATGATCCCACACTATTGATATCCTGGCAGCCGATGTAATAGATATAATAAGTTAAGATCTTTTGTGTGTAGACCTATTTGAAATTTCAATTGAGCACGTCAACCTATATATTTACGGGTTTTATTTCTATCTACTATTATACTAAATGAACCCTCACCATCCATTAAACCAGATCAGACTCCAGGATTTACAATAGTAGAATTATAGGTAGAATATTTTTTTAAATCGAATTGCTTAGATGGGATTTTGACATAGGAGTTTCAACCTTGTTGCATGTTGAAACCGAGTTTTATACCTCTGTTCCTTTCGAAACCCTTTAGAATACACCTTAAATCCATTAAATGTGGCTTAATGGACCAATTCCCGTCTATTCTTTGCTCTTTTACAACAAAAAAATAGTATACTTTAGTTATTTTGTTAATTTTTGCAAAAAATATCTTCCTTTATAAGGCTTCACAGTATTACTAGTAAAATACATTCTAATACTTCCTGAAGGTACACCTAAAGCTTTGGCAACTGCACTCATTGAAGGATATATTGTTTTCATTCCAGTTTCCTGATCTAAAACTTCTATCGGAACACTAGGACTACCTGCTCCTTCTGCTCGCTTACGCCCTTTACCTCCTGTTGCATTTTTATTACCCTTTTTTGCTGCAGACATTTTGGCTTTTGCCTCTTCAGAATGTTTAGAACCTAAAGGAGAACCAGCTGTAAATAAAAGATTATATTCTGGTTTTAATAGATCCAAGTAGTATTGCTCCCTTGAAATTGTTTCAGATGATTCACAATACTCCAGGATTTCCAAAATAAAATTAGAATAACCATACTTTAACAAAGCACTATTAATCAAGCTTCTCCCCTTTTTAATTTCTGATTCTAAGAAATAAATGGAAAAATAACCTTTCAATCTTCTCTCTAGATTAACACTACTACCAATATAGCTTTTACCATTTGTTATATTTGTTCAGCGATATACACCACATTTACCTTTATTTTCTTTTAGTATTTGAAGCTTATCTAAATCAGTATTTCTATATATTTTTACAGGAACAACTGAAAAGTTAGTAGAATAATTTTTCACATTAATTGATAAAACTGAAAAAGATAAATCTCTGTAAGAAGAAAATGTAGCTAATAAAATTGAATTAGAAAAAAGTAACTCATCAAAATGAAAAACAGGCAAGGTAGTAATGAAGAAAATAAAAAAAGAGAATGCAAAAATTAGAAAACTAACTAATACTAAAAAGATTGTTGACTTAGATCCGCGATTATCCATTTTGTTTTCACTCATCTTAAGGCTTGTTACCGTACCTGAGTAATTACTTCAGCCACTCATAGTTTTTCAACTACAGCTTGGTACCTTAAGCTTTAGGACTTCCCCGGAGTTTGACAATTTATCCCCATAGACGCGTTTTCCCCTAACGCGGCCCCGAGGATCGTGTGACATATAACCTATAGAATAAATATGGACTAAACAAGATACAATTAATACTGTTAAGGAGTCAAAATGAAAACCTCAAAATACGTTTAATGATTCTGAATCAATCCAAGTAAATAATTGGATTGACACAGGTATGCTATTAAAACCTGCTTCAAAATAAGCAGCTATTGCTAACAGTGTTGTAAGAATTACTAAACTAGAAGTAATTAATTGTGCTCCAGTGACTCCAATCTTTCTACCAAAAAGACCGGAAGCTATTGATCCTAGTAACGGTAGAGTAATTATAGCTAAATACATTATTAATATTCTATTCCTATGCTCCCTCTTCGGTTTTTCTTAATTTTTTTCAAATTAAGCCTGACTATATCTTAAACAAATAGACCCATCATAAAGTCTATAAACCAACTAACGTTTAGTCGATGAACTGCACACCGTTATTTATAATAAACAATTTATAATAAACACTTGGTGCTTGGCTGCAGGTTATCTATTTTTCATACAAACCGTTTTTACCTTACAACGAGTCATTACCTGTTCCATTAACTATATTTCTATGTTAACTTGGTAGATTTGCCTTTAAGAATTTCCCGCAATTTGATAGTTTTGCCTAATTTTTATAAAAAAAAAAAAAAGACTAGACGAAGGTTCACTTCGCCTTTTTAGATCAATATTTAACCTCTACTTATTTTTATTCATCAAGTTTTTAAGTTCTATTACTCTATCCATACCTTTTTTATTAAGATGTTGTTTATTTTTAATAATATAAGCCGCTTCTTTAAAATAAATATAATTTTAATGTTTAGATCCTCTTATAGGATATTTCTCAAAAAAGGGATAATATATAAAATTATATCATCTATTTTTGTAACTACAAATTCACAAACCTTACGATTTTTATATTTACTTACATAACCACAATTGAACAAAATTTACTATATTTTCTAATAATAAAATATCTCTTACATCTTGACTTATAGAAAAACGTAATCAAGCATAAGAACGGGATATAGTTATAAAAAAATTACACTCACCCGAGCAAAAGCCAGCTAATCATTCAGGTAACAAGTTTTCTAATTTATTTTCAACTTGTACTCTTAATACTGGCAATGTTAAAGGGAAAGCTAATTTAAAAGTTTCAGTTAAACCTCAATTAAGTTAAGCTCTATTATTTAAAATTAATTGTAATCCATCTAAATTTCTATGTTGGTTTTCTGACATAAGTAATACAATTTGTTTAAAAAAAAAATCTGAGTGTTTATTAGTTATAAGACTATATTTTTCAAAGTGAGGTATAATTACATTAATCAAATGTGATAAAGTACTTACTCTAAATTCCACTGTAGATCTTGTATTTTTTGTAGAAACCGCTCCTATATTACCGAAAAATTTTGGAATTAGCAACAATAAAGGTCTATCTGTTTCATGTAACTTTATTTGAAACCTAGCTTGTACAGCTCATCCTGTATTATATCCAGCTTTTCTTAATATAGTTACAACAAAAGAATATTAATTGACTTTTTAAAAAGTATATCTACCTTTATAAGGCTTCTTTTGATTACGAGAAAAATACATAACAATACTAGCATGGTTGATATTTAAGGCAGTAGCTGCTTTATTTATACTATCATAATAAGTAGTTTGATTAGTATCTTTATCAAAAACTTCTATTTTATTACGATTAGAGGGATTAGAAAAAGCAGATTTGAGTTTATATAGCATAGATGGCTGCATATAAGAAGAAACAACATTCAGAAGTGAAGTCATAGAACCTTGTCGAATATAAATACGATATTGATTTTGTATATAAGCTCTAAGGGTACATTCTAATCTAAATTTAATTATAAATACATTAATCAAACGTACTACATCTTTAACTGTATAGGAATCAGTACAAATAATTAACCCATGTGATTTTACTGAACCATCTCCCATGATCATATGGGGTAGAACAATAGGAGTTAAAAGTTCATAAATATTATGAGGCACTATTTTAACACCATGCGGATAAAAGAGATAATATAATTCAGTTAAACAAGGCATTGATCTAGTAAAGAATTCTAAACCATAAAATCTATTTCCTGCTCTAATACCAGTAGTTACATGAGGGTTACTACTACAATAGTGAGACAATATGTTAAATACAAATAAAACATATTCAGAATGATCTAACGATTGTTTAAATCCTAATCTAGCATTTTTACTGATTTTTGAAGCGAATATTAGTCAGCCATCAGACAATAATAAACCTATTATAACACTCTTTTGATAAGGAGCAAGTTGCACGTATTTCTAATTGTTTTAGACTAAATTTAATACCTACTGTTGATGTTAAGTTTGTACCAAATATTACGATAGATTTTGTGGAGGCATCAGCAAATCCACTAACAAATAAAGGATGTAATATAAATTTACCTAATTCGGTAGAATAATATCTAATTAGAGTTGGACTTATACTTGATTTTGAACTAACTTTTTTAAAGGTAATAAAGAATAAGTAGGGGTTGGAAGACTTATCTCTCTTAATCTATAGAAAGCTACTAAAATACCTAAACCAATTGCTGATTCTGCACCAGCTATTGCTATTATATATATAGCATATGTTTGGCCTAATATATCATCAAAGCTAAGTGAACTTACCAATATTAAAAATGTAATAGCTAATAGCATTATTTCTATTGAGATAAGCATTAAGATTATGTTTTTTCTATTTAAAACAAAACCTAGAGTACCTATTAAAAAAAGTAATAACGATATACTCATTTTGTTTATTTATTTTACTTAATATATAGCCTAATTATTATAAAAAACATGGCAAGGCAAGGAAACAGAGATTAACGAGTTATGCTAGACTTTTTGAAAACAAATCTTCCTTTGAAAGGTTTTCTATTGTTCAAAAAAATAACTAAGCCACTTTATTAACGTATCTTTAAGGATATTGCAGCTGCACTTATTGAATTATAAGTAGTCATTTCATTTGTATCATGATACAGAACTTCTATTTTAGCAAAGTTTCTGGGCTATGAGTTTTTAATCGCTTAAATTGCCCTTCGGATTATTGATATATAATGGCTCCAACCTGTGAGAATTGCTCTAGTTCGTATGCTG